AACAAGTATGTATTTTTTTCTTTTTTGATCGAATCATATCAACCAAACGAAACAATAATCATAATAGTAAAAATGATAGTAATTATGATGATTATGCTGATGATATAGATAATAATGATACGCGTTGACTAAGCTTGAACTCGCCCATCCCAGAAAACAGAGTGATGTCTAACGTTCACAATTTTCATCCTCAAAGCGCACCTGTTCATCAGCCTGGCCTGGGGGACCGTCCGCCAAGCTGGGTCAGGGAAAGTAAAATTTTGCCCTTTAGGTCTGGTAAATTTTCCATCAAATTAGCAAAAAGAGAAAAATGCACTTTGAGAGTCGGATGTTGTTATTTGCGTTTTTTTCTCTCTCTGTTTTTGTTTATTCTGTTGACGTAAAATTTGAAAGAATGATGATGAATGATATAGTAATGAAAAGAGAATGGAGAAAATTTCTTATAGATGAATACTAATCCCCTAAGCTTAATAATGATAATAATAATAATAATAATAATAATAATAATTATAATGATATCAATAAAACAGTTATAGTAAAAATGATTGTGAGGATGATGATGTTAATGATAATGATGATGATGATGATGAGGATAAGGATGATGATGAGGATGATGTTGATGATGATGTTGATGATAATGATGATGATAATAATGATAATACTAATAATAATAACACTAATAATAATGACAATAATAATAATAATGATAATAATGATGACAATAATAATAGTGATGATGATTATAATAATTGTAATACTGATAGTAATGATGATGGTGATGAGGATGACGATGAGGAGGAGGAGGAGGAAAAGGAAGATAATAATGCTAATAATAATAGTAATAATGATGATAATGATAATAACAACAATGATAATGATAATAATAATGCTAATGATAATATATAATAATAATAATAAATAATAATAATAATAATAATAATAATAATAATAATTAATAATAATAATAAATAATAAATAATGATAATAAATAATAATAGTATCAATAACAACAAGAACAGTGATGATATCAATAATGATAACAAAAACAATATGAAGACGGAAAGAAATTACGAGCATCCAAAGAGCTTCAGCCGAGCGCAGTCAAAGGCGAATATTTGCACAAAAGGACGAATTCAAGAGACAGCGATGGAGTGGAGTGCATGGGAGAACGGCTGGGGTGGGGGCGGGGAGGGGACGGAGAGGGGGGATAGGAGGGCATGGGAGAACGGCTGGGGTGGGGCGGGGAGGGGACGGAGAGGGGGATAGGAGGGCATGGGAAGGGGATTGAGGGGGGCGGGGCGTGGGAGGGGCCTGAGGAGGGTGGGGGTCGTGGTAGGGGCCTGAGGGGGGTGGGGTCGTGGTAGGGGTGAGGGTGGGGGTTGCGGTAGGGGACTGAGGGGGGTGGAGGGCATGGTAGGGCCTGAGGGGAGGGAGGGCATGGTAGGGGACTGAGGGGGTGGGGGTCGTGGTAGGGTGAGGGGGGTGGGAGTCGTGGTAGGGGCCTGAGGGGGTGGGAGTCGTGGTAGGGGCCTGAAGGGGGTGGTCGTGGTAGGGACTGAGGGGGCTGGGGGCGGTAGGGGACTGAGGGGGTGGGGGGCATGGTAGGGGCCTGAGGGGGTGGGGCATGGTAGGGGACTGAGGGGGGTGGGAGTCGTGGTAGGGGCCTGGGGGGGTGGGAGTCGTGGTAGGGGCCTGAAGGGGGTGGGAGTCGTGGTAGGGGACTGAGGGGGCTGGGGTTGCGGTAGGGACTGAGGGGTGGGGGGTATGGTAGGGGCCTGAGGGGGTGGGGCATGGTAGGGGACTGAGGGGGTGGGAGTCGTGGTAGGGGCCTGAGGGGGTGGGGGCATGGTAGGGGACTTCCCGCGTGCCTAGATGACAGGGACGATTATGATGCCAAAGTGTTCCGGGCACGCGAGCGCCGGTTCATCCCGAGGAAGAAACGGAGAGGAGGAGGCTGGAAGTGCGTGTATCTCTCTCTCTCTCTATCTGCCTCTCTACTTGAGTGTGTATTTGTGCGTGTACGAACCTGTGTGTTCTGTATGTGTTTCTCTCTCTTCGGTGTGCCTCCCTACACTTCTGTGATTTAGTCTTCTCCATTTATTAGCATTAAGGAACTTTTAAATGCCGTGTCTCCTCATTTTTATTTACATATATCTTGGTATACGCGCAGAAACGCATGGTCACGAATGAATGCATATTTCCCATTTAAGTTCTCAGTCTTTTAAGAATGTTAACATATATTTTATCATTACACACAAATTCGCTGGACTGGAAGTGTCAAATCGCACGACATATACCTGAGCAGTCTCTCTCTGTTCCAATTTCTGGATTTCTAAATATCCGTCAGATGTGCAATATCACAAGTTATTTTCTCTGAAGACTCGACTGTGCACTGTTAGGACAAGGAAAGAACAAGAGAAAGAGTGAGAAAGATAGGTAGATAGTTAGATAAATAGATAGAGAGAGAGAGAGAGAGAGAGAGAAAGATAGGTATATTGAC